TTTGTCCTTCATGGTCTCTGTCCGCTGGGTTTGAGCCAGACCGCCAGACGATAGGAAAGAAGAAAAAAACGATGTCCAGAAATCACTGTAAAACCTGCTCCTCCTCCTGCCTGATGTTTAGACCACAAGTGCCGTGGTGATTGTGTCAGATGTGATCTAGTAGCCAAGACCCGCTAGATAACATCCTGTTTTACATGAGGATTTCATGGAGTCGCGTTGGTGGCGCGCACCAAAAATAGAAATCCATCCCTACAAAGAGCGCAGCTTGACGCGGCATATGTCAGACATACAATTTGCTCGTATAAACCTAGAATTGTAAATATCATCAAGTTTAAACATGGGAATAAAGTTACGCTGTGAATATTTCCTGACGATAAACAAAAAGACTTGGACAAAACTGCGTAGTTTCTAAATAGAGTTTTTATTATCAGGAAGGTATGAGCGAAGATCTGATCTGGCACAACGCAGCTCCTGAGAATCTGGCTGTAGAATCTGGTTGAGAATGAAGGTGGCTACTTATATACACCTTAAATGATTAGTTAATCTATACTTGGTAGCATGGACTTATGCCGAAGAAATGCGTAATTGGTTTCAATTTCAGTTGAGATGGCCTAAGATGTCCATAACTATGATCAAAGTATGGTCTTCGTATTGGACCAAACTCCAATGTACATGATATAGCATTATCTCATGTTCTGTACATCAAACACTTTTATCTGTTTTTATGCTTTTGTAAGCATTTTTAAAGTACAGACTACGCCTTTGAAACTCTATTGAACTGTTTTAACATGATATTTTAATATCATGCAAATAGTAATTAAATATTCACATCCCTCTCTTGATCACATCCACATGTGATCACAAATCAATATTTAATGTAGAGGTGCAAGTCGCCTACCATCTCTGGTTGATTATATTAGTTTGTAATCATCAGATTATATGACTGTTGAAAATACAATATAATTTTTTAAAACAAGTTTTTTATATTTATTTTTAAAGTATTAACTTTTATTATTTTTATTGTTAGATGAACAAGCAACACAAAAAACAAATTAATAAGTGAGGTGTTTACAGTTATAGTTTTGTTTCTAATAATTATCTAATCTTTTAGTAGGTAAATAAGTCCAAGTCAGATGCTTGGATGGCACGTAGTAGATAATGTTATTTGGACTGTTTCTTCTTCTTCTGACTCAGGTTCATCAGAGAATAATCTCTATGTTGTCTTGCTTCCTGCACCATCATCTGAAGGGCTTTAGAATATGAAGGGGGCTCTGCAAACGCACGATCAATTGTTCTTTGGATCAGTCCCCTAATGCAAGAATACAACAACAGCCACAAGTTATCAACATACAGATGATATTATATGAGTAGCCTCAAATCCATCTCGAGTGTAGTTGGACACCAGACATGTCTTTCAATTCAGTGAGATGCTAGGCGTTGTATCATATTAATGGATAAGATTAATTCTGTTTATCATTTATGTTAAGGCCGTTACAATTGTTCATAGGGGAAAAAGTTGGCTAGAGAAATAATGGATAAGATTAATTCTGTTTACATTTTGAACCTTACAGGAAAAATCTGAAAAATGGGAAATGATTCAAAACCTGCTGCTACTTCATCTACTAATTTATACTCATCTGGAATTCCTCTGACTTGTCCAATAGCGTCAATCCAATGGTCCCAGATGACATGTCATTAAAGCATGGACCTTTTAGCTCTGTGGCAATGATAAACCCATAATTTCGCATCTGGAAAACTAGCAGCACTCATTAAAGATACAAGGGTGTGCAGTCCATTTTGGTGGTAAACTTCCATATAGAGCAGAACCTTCTAGCAGTTGAAGTCTATAGTGCTTTTACATACTTCAAGATGTCCTAAATCATGAAACTCTTTTTCTACATATGTGTGTAACATTTAAATTGGTAACTTGAGTGCTAAACATGGTGAAACTCCTTTTTTGGTGACTGGATAAATCTTTTCCCACCCTCTACAGTTAAGACCCGTGTTATCTTTAGACATTACTTCTATCATACATCCTATATCTATACCTTTAGTTGTTGTGCCATTTTTGTTTGTCTCAAAAGTTGTATGAGTTAACATTAATTTTGGTCTAGCTGTTTGACATATTATGCAGTCTGTTTGGTTTGCTTGTTCAGCTTGTTGCCTAACATTTTCTAACCAAACATTACTTTCGACATAGCCCGTTTCAATAGCAAGTTGTACTTTAGGATTTTTGTTGTTATTATCAATTATCTTTATCCAAGGTAAAGTTTTATCAGGTGTTGCAGAGGTATCAAAGGCTATTTTTACAACTACTTTCCTTGTGTAATGTCCTGATATACCAAAAGTAAGGTATAAGGGTTTTAGATTATTTAACAAGGGGTTTTTGTCCAATCTATTGATGGTGAAGGCTAAAAGATTTCTTCTTGGACCCTGTATGGGATAATGACTTTTGCTTTTGCTCTTTATTACTGTTATTTTATCTGCAGCTTTTGCAGGACCACAATAATTGGAAGATTGTGTAGGATCTGAATGGGTCCAGTGATTCTTTGATAGGCAGAGTCTACTCATCTGGGCACAATGTGTTTGCATTTGGTATTCACCACAAATGTAGACATCCCCTCCCCTCCACTGGGAGTGGTCGTCACTACAAGTAAAAACAGAGCAAAAGTCAAAAACATATGTCCAGTCCTCTCCTGGTTTGTAGTTTAATTCTAGTCCTCCATGTTTAGCTATGCAGGGGTCAACATTGGTTCGGCGTTTTTGTCTATGTGTTTGGTTGCTTGCTAAAATATAAGATAATTTAACAATACTTTCATTTTTTGTTGTTGGAGTGATTTGTTGCATATTTACATTAATTTTTGGTGATGGACATATAATGTACCACCATACTAAAACAAAAACAATAGTAATGATTGCAAAGAAATATAAGATTTCTGGAACGTCGCAAGGGATGCAACTGCATGTCCTATACTTCCCCATTTCCCTCTCTTTCCCCCTCCGGAGCCCCGGAGCTGGGTTGCGTAGAGAGATCTTCTCCATCAGCCGATGAGTAAGGGGTTGAATCTGGACCAACAGCTGCAGCAATGTCTGCTTTAACTTGCGTCAGAGTCCTCTCCGTTGGGTCCACGGGGCACTTGAAGCAGTGTGAAAGATGGTACCACACCTTGGACTGTCCTCGTTGGACCTGCACAGATCTTCCAGTTGATTGAATAACTAAGTATGGTCCAGTTTGGTAGGGCTGAGTCCAGTTGTTATGTCTGTGTACTTTAACAAATACCCAAGAGCCAGGTGTAACTACTGTGTCAGGCTCGGGATGGATTTGTGAGTCATGAACTCTCTGTCTACATTGGTGTAGTTCAATCAATCAATCAAATTTTATTTATAAAGCGCTTTTCATACAAAAAGTGTAACACAAAGTGCTTTACAGTTTAGTTAAAAACAATCCAACATGCCCAGCCCTAAACCCTCCTCCCCACAGACCCCCCAAAATCACATTTATAATTATATATACAATACACACACCCACACACACACACACACACACGCACACACACACACACACACACACACACACACACACACACACACACACACACACACACATATACACAAGTATAAAGTCATATCAGGTAAAATAGGTAAAACAATAAAAAGAAATGGGGCTGGGAGCAGATGTAACCGGCTGAAGAAGCGTCATCCAAGGAGCCATCTGCACCAGGAGCAGAGAGCCGGCTGCAGCCACAGGCAACGACACAGGACCCAGAGGAGAGAGGGGCCCCAGACCCCACCAGGCCCAGGACTCAGACCCCATAGGACCCAGAGGAGAGAGGAGGCCCCAGACCCCCACCGGATCCAAGAGCCAGTCCCCCGAAGCCACAGCAGACCCCAGCTCTCAGTGCAGAGGGCTCCTCCAGAGGAAACACTGGGGACACTAAAACAATACAATAATACAATAGAAAGTAGAACAATAGAATGTGAAAATAAAAAGAAAAATGGCAGCTGCCTAATATAATAACAATAGTAAATGGGTAGATACAATAAATAATTAAAAATAGTAAATAATAAAAATAAATAAAAATATAATCCGTCTAAAAACATAAATAGATGTACTAAAAAGCAATAATAGATAATAAATACTAATCAAAAGCTGCTCTAAAAAGGTGCGTCTTGAGCCTACTCTTAAAAATATGAACGTTCTCTGCGGCCCTGAGCTCCTCCGGCAGACTGTTCCAGAGACGGGGGCCGTAGTGCTGGAAAGATGCCTCGCCGTGAGTGTGTGTCCTGACTTTGAGAGACTATTTTCTGTAGCATCTGAACATAAGAATGGTGCTGTTTGTCCCAGTCAATAAATGGTGTTTCTTCATTGAATGGACCTACTGGTTTGTGCATCTCTCTACCAGTGAGTAAAAGATGAGGAGAGTATGATGTGGTTTGGTTAATGCTGTTTCTAATGTCCATCAAAGCAAAAGGAAGAGCAGTGACCCAGTCAAGCTTGGTGGTATGCCAGATTTTAGCCAGTTTCCTTTTGACTGTTGCATTCATCCGTTCACAGACTCCTTGGCTGGCTGGATGATAAATGGTTCCAAAGCGCTGTGAAATATTAAGGGCTTTTAACATATCACGTACCACTTTGGCTGTAAAGTGAGTTCCGTTATCACTTCTTATCACAGACGGAATTCCGAAACGGCTAAAAACGTCGTTGGTGAGATGTTGAATCACTTCCTTGGCTGACTCTGTTTTACATGGAAAAGCTTCAACCCATTTGGTATACTCACAGACTAAGACCAGTAGGTAGCGATAGCCACGGACACGCATATCAGGACCCATGTCTGTAAAGTCAATGACAATTCTTTCAAAGGGTTTATTTGGAAGTGTGTAGGTACCTGGAGGTGGTTTACATGTCTTCTTTGGATTCATAGTCTGGCAGACATGACACTCATCAATCCAGTATTGTAGAATGGGTTTCATATGTGGATGCCACCACAAGTCGATGTGCTTCAGAAGCGCATTGTAACTGCGATGTGTTGGAGTGTGATATTCATCAAAGAGCATTTGAAGCAGCGGAACAGGAGCCAAAACTTTTCCTTCATGATTCCTCCAGATTCCTTCAGCATCTTTAACAGCACCTCGTCTTGTCCATGCGCTATGTTCATATGCTCCAGCAGCTTCTTGGATTTCTCTAACTAGGTAGTATCGATAACATTGGAGTCAGATGAGTTGTCAGGTGTTTCTTTGGCTTGAATGAGCATGTTCCTTTCGTTGTAATTGGCAGCTTCTTTAGCAGCCAGGTCTGCTGCGTGGTTTCCTAGGGACACAGAGTCTTCACCTTTGGTGTGGGCTTTGCACTTCATGATGGCTAGTTGTAATGGCAGCTGGACAGCGTTGATAAGTTGTTTGATCAATGACTCATGTTTGATTGGAGATCCAGCCATGAGTTTGAAACCATTTCTTATCCAACCTGCAATGGACAGTGTCACCGTTTTGTAAGCATAGACTGAATCAGTGTAGATATTGACTGCACGGCCTTCAGAAAGCTGCAAAGCCTTTAGCATAGCTGTCAATTCAGCAACCTGGGCTGATCCATATGTCAATTGTTGAGCTTCCAGTACTTGATGTTGTCCGTTGGACAGCTGTTGAACCACAGCGTACGATGATATGACATGTCCATCTTTTGCTCTGTAAGAACAGCCATCACAAAATAGAGTCATATCTGGATTATCCAGTGGCGTCGTTTGTAGATCTGCTCTCACATATATTTCAGTCTTGACTTTCTCCTCACACATGTGTGGAGTTCCTTCAGTCTCCATGTTGGATGCCATGTTGATGGTACCTCCTTCATATGTAATATGTTCTTGTCTCAGAGTTTTTGAGATGTTGTTGGATCTTTGGGCTGTGGTAATGAACAGACGAGAGTTAAGATAATCCAATATTCCATGATGAGTATGTACCACCAGAGGATGGTTCTGTACAATATGAGCAGTTTTCTCAATTGTCTTTGTCAAAGCTGCAAGATAGCGTGCACATCCAGGTTGTGCCTGATCATGAGGATCTAGTTTGCAGGAGTAGTGTTTCAACACTCTTCTGGTCCCTTGATGTTTCTGATAAAGAACAGCTTGAACAAAGGACTGTTTTTCTGTCACATCCAGATGAAAAGGGATGCTGTAATCAGGGGCACATAATGAGCATGCAACACATATTGCCTGTTTGGTCTTGATGAATGCTTCTTCAGCACTTGAGGTCCAAAGTAGTTCAGCTGTTGGATTGTGCATTCCATGTGGCTTGATGAGTTCCCTCAGTGGAGTTGTGAGCTCGGTGTATCCTGGAACATATTCTCGAGAATAGTTGCAGAGTTCTAGAAAGCTGAGCATTTGACGTACTGTTATTGGTTTTGGAGTCTGCAAAATAGCATCTTTGTTGTTGTCCGTTACTCCTTGTGCTCCATTCGATACTTCTCGCCCAAGGAAGTAGACAGATCTTCTGGCTACTTGTATCTTTTGTCTCTTTACCTTGTAGCCTTTGCTGGACAGACGTGTGAGAAGTATCACCGTTGCTTCCAAGACATCTTTAGATGTAGCCCCTGCTATCATGCAGTCATCCACATACTGAATCAGAATGCAGGATTCAGGAAGTTGTAGACTGGCCAGGTCTTGTCTCAGAAAATGGTTGAAGTAGCCGGGCGAGTGCTTCCATCCCTGGGGCATTCTGGAATATGTATATTGCTTGTTGTTGTGAGTGAAGGCAAAATACTGTTGAGAGTTGGGTTCAATGTTTATCGTGAAAAAAGCATTTGCCAAGTCTATCACTGTATAGAAGTTGTAGTTTGGTGACAAGTTGTTCAAGGCAATATATGGATCTGGGACTGGGAATGACTCACCAGCTGTGATGTCATTGATAGGTCGAAAGTCTTGGACCATTCTCCAGTTCTGTAGATCCGACTTCTTCACAGGGAACAATGGCGTGTTGTAGTCTGAGACTGTTTCACAAATCACTCCTGATTCCAGCAATCCATGAATTGTTTCTTGGATACCAGTGTCTTGGTCTTCTGTGAGTGGGTATTGTGAACGAAAAACAGGTCTTGCTGTAGTGAGCTGTACCTTTATAGTGTGCTTTGTCTGGCCCACGTCATTGGGGTGAGTCATCCATATGTTTTTTGGTACTTGAGACAGATGTCTGTCTGTGTCTGGATGATCATCAAAGACTCGATGTTTGGACTGCTTTGAAGTTCTTGTTGTGTCTTCAGAGCCTTGGGGTAGAATTATCTTGAACATTTGATTTTGTGAGTTATAGAAAACTCCATCTCTTTCAGTGCGTTCATATTGCAGAGTAGAGGCAAATCTTATCATTGGGCCAAGTTGCTTCTGCGTGTGGTGCTTTGATATGGCCAGTGTTACATGAGGTGAACTCTCTCCATCATCCAAATAGTAAGGTCGTAGTTCTTCTGGTAGAATTGCTGCAATAGCCATTCCTTGAGGGCCAAGATATATACAGGAGTATTTCACCTGGAATGTTTGGCCATTCACCTGTTGCCAGAGTTCGTCATAAGTGTCGTCTTCCAGTGTGATGTATCGGAGAGTTACATGTAGAGGGTCAAGAGGCTCTCTGAGTGGATATAATGATTTGGCCCATAATTTGTAGTTTTGCCAAAATGCCGAAGCTGTGTTTCCTTTCTCTGGATCTGTGAGAATTTCTGTCCAATATATCGTTGTCTTTATCTTACAATCTTGCACAATGTCTGGAGAGAGATATAAGATCTGGACAGAATCTTTCATCTTTATATTTCTCAGCATCATCATGGTTTCTTGTTTGTTGAGAACTTTATGGCCATCTGGGCAAAATATCAATGACAGTGAAAGTTTGCACATCAGTTCTCTTCCACATATAGAGACGTCGCTTTGTGGTAAGAAAAGAAATTCATGTTTTACTGTCTGGTTATTCAATGTTACTGCCAATGGTTCAGTAAAAATCTTTGTTTCAGGTGATCCCACACAGCCGGATATGGACATAGTTTTGGATGTCAATGGAAATTTCTGACGAATACAGGACACTGTTGCTCCTGAGTCCACAAGAAACTTAATCTTCTGTCCATTTATCTTCAAGACCACCATTGGCTCGCTTTTCCATGGTTTTAGCGATTGGTCTGACTGTGGGCCTCTCTAGCATTCATTATACCCATCAAAACATTGGACATCTCTTCCATCATGGTAGTTGGATCCGATGTTCATTACTCTTGGGCCGTTTGGTGGGAGTCTAGGTGCAGCCGTCTGTGGGTGCATCATGGGTTGCATCATAGGTGGTTGGTTTGTTGATTGGATGAATCGTTGTTGTGGGTCAAAGCCTTGTGGTTGTCCTTGTGGCTGTGTTGCACAATCTCTGCTCCAGTGGCCTCTTCCTCCACATGTGAAACATGCACCGAATGCTTTATCCTTTATAAATCTTGGCCTTGGACCATTATAGCCTCTTCCTCTTCCTCTGAACTTAGAGAAACTGCGAGCGTATATTGCTGTTGGCGAAAATGTTTGTGGTGGTTGTTGCTGTGGTTGCATCACCGTCTTTATTGCGGTCAGCAATTGATTGGTGGTCACTGGTGCATCCCCATCAGCAGAGTCTTGTTGTACAGTCATCAGTCGAGAGGTTTTCTCCTTCTTCTTGTCCTTGACCTCTTCTTGGAGTTTATGTAGTTGCAACTTCATAGTGGCCAGCTCAAGTTCCTGCTTCTTGGAGTCTGTTTCCTTCTTGTTATTAATCCACTTGGTCACATGATGATTGCAATGTGCATCAAAGTCTTCTTCAGTCTTAGTGTACAATCCCATCACTTCACTGAGGGTGTCTTGTATGGGTTTAGGCATACCTTTCACCAAGGCTGAGTAAAACATGACTGTCATTCCGGTGCCTGTTTGAATTGGCTCACCTGTAGCATCATGATATAGAGTTTTAGCTCGTTGTTTGTAGCTGCAGTAGTCTTCATCATTTTTCATCTGCAGGGACATGAGTTCATCCGTCAGAGTGCATGGATATCTCGTCTTCAGTTCTTCCTCCAATGCTTCACGGAACATCTGAATGGCAGCAGTCTTCCGTAGTGGTATTCTGATCTTCCTTCCAACTGCAGCTTCAATTCTTTCTGCGACTGTTTCATCTGCGGCTTTGGTCAGGGCGGCATGTATATCTCCCCAGCATAGTTTATCACCAGCAGTCTGTTTCATCAGGGCCCTCATCCAGGGCACTCCACCCTTCGTCAGCTTCGGTAGGGTGAGCATCAGAGAACTCCAGTCTTTCAGAGAGAATGGTTGATAAATCATCTGTTGATTTTCATTTGTCCTCAGTGGATAGATAGATGCGGAATGACTTATTTTTTGTTCTTCTCCATACATGGGGTCAACAGTGCCATTTATGTAAGCCTCATTGAATTCATCAGCATCAATGATTCCTGTGAAAGATCCTGTTACCTTAAAAGGCTCTTTAACTTGCATATGCCTTCTTGTTTCTCTGGCTACGTCACCCCTTTCTTCTGTGGTTGGTCCTTGACTTCTCAGACAATCGGTCCCTCCAAACTCTCTTGAAGTCTCTACAATAGATGTCAGAGCAGTCACCTGGTTTTGAATATCCTGGAGCCTCCTCTCTGTGTTGGAGGGTGGGCCAACTGGTGTCAAGGATAGTGCTCCTCCCATCACCTTGTGGGTCATCTGCGTTGGGTTGTTCCTTTAGAAGAGATAACTGTGCTGGGTGTAGGATGATAAGGAGGCGGGTTTTTAGTCAAACGTGAATCATCATTGAATGAGATTAAGTCTTGAGTGGATGACGGATAATACAAAGTGCCCTGCAAAAGGGGAACATCTTCAAGGTTTTGCAATTTATTTCTTTTTCTCATGTGAGTGGTCAGCTCTCTCCTTCCTTCGGGTGTGATCAACGGCCTCTCCTTTGATTTTTCTCCTTCCTCAGAGTCACTGCCACTGGCATCTCGATGGTGTTCAGTCTGAGACCGTGTGTTATACCTGTGCTTTTCCTTGTTCTTCAACACAGGATAAACGCCCTCAGTGGAGTCTCTGTGGATTCTCTCAGGAAATGTCACTTTCTTATCTGTCACTTGGTTTAATCACAAGAATTGAAGACAGGTCCCTCAACTCTGAGGAAAGATTCCTTGACTTTTTCATCTCCTTTGCCCATCGGCACATTTTCTTAGCCAGTGCATTTTTGTTCTCATGTTCTCGAATTTTAGCATTGTTGTTCTTCTTTCCAAGAGGAGCTAAATTAGGATGTTTTTGATAATATAAAATCTTCCCTTTGTGGTAGTCTAAAATCTTCTTCCATTGTTCTTCTGTGGGTGCAAGTGCCTCTTTGCCTCCATCAATTATTTGCTTCGAGATGTATTTTTTAAGCAATTCTTGTATGATGGACACATTAGCTTGTGCTAATTTTGGTTCGACTTCATCTTCTCGAACCTTGTGGCTCCAGAACTCCTCCACTTGTTTTAGTGTGATAAATTGGGACATTATTGGTATGTGCCTATTCTTTATGTTCTTATTTATTTCTAAATGCACTTCCAGCAATCTAATCGCATAAATGAGTTTCCTAGGGTAGTTGAGGGAGACTGTTACCCCTACCCCGTACTACTCATGCATTCAATTAGATTTCCCAGAGCACAGTGTCTTAATTATGAGTGCAAAAATTTGAATAGTGTAAAAAATGAAGACTATATTGAATTGTGTTTTGCAAAAATTTGAAGATTTACCTTAGCATGTACTGGATGTGAAATCAAATGGGCTGTTTCGTAGTGGTTTTGAAGATGGCTGTTTCAGATTCCTCCTTTACGGCCTATGCGATTGACCCGATCAGATCTCTCCTATTTTTCTCCCCGTCTGCGTTGAGACACTAGTTTTTTGGTCCTGAACCTCCCAACGCGCTCCTAGTATTTCTCTAAAACACAAGAAAAATGTTCAACAGATCAACTTGCACAATCAAACTTTTTAATCACTAAACATTTATATGCTTTATTTATTCATCTAATTATTATACTGTACATATATCGAGTTTTAGAAAACGAAATTTGATATTTTAAAAGTAATCATAAAAAATAATGATATTCGAACAACCAATTAGATAACCCTTATCATTTTAATATTGAGCTGGCATGATATCTGTATACTAGCTGCAAATGTTAACTATTCACTTCTTATCATAGACAGTAATGCAAATTTTTTACATAAATAAAACACTGAAAATCAAAAGTTTTATTTTTAGTTTAAGTTTAGGTGCCAATCCTAATACATATATATAATTTTCCCTCAGAATATTTTATTGTCTAGTATACAGTATATACATGCATAGCCTTAATCATTTTAAAATCATTAAGTAAAACATTTTGTATATATTTTAATAGTTGTGATGGTTTAACATTTGTACAACATACTAGAATATTGAAATACTAACAATAATTATTTTTATAACATGAAAGTTAAAAAGGTGATATTTCTTATAATATTAAACATCTATTTTTATCTCTATTTGCTATTTAAACTAATATATCATTGAATGCGGCCAATATATTTGGATTAGCCAACTCAGTTTACTAGCCTTTATTTTATCTTTAAAACATTTATTTGCATAAAAATAACACTATACCAGAAAAATAACCAGGTAAGCTATGCCAATAATATTATCTCTCTGCAAACCTACTTATTATACATTATAAGACTATTTCTATAAATGCTGACAAGTCTTTCACTTGTAATCACAATTATTTAAATAGAAATAAAACGCTTTCTGCTATATATTACCCTCCATGACAAACAAAGTTGTATTATTTTCAACAATTACATTTTTTCTATTCTAACAAAGATACATGAAAACACACAGGACTTCACTTATTTGGTTAATGGTTAACTTTTATCGCTGCTGCATGCTTTATCTGAAAACAGGGCAGAAGACACCGCTTTAGATAATCAATGCATTCTAATTTTGGCTGTTTTTAAGGTTAGAAATCATATAGCTCAAATTGTTCTTCTTCTTCATTTTCTTCTAGTGAAATGTCTTGGCTTGGCTTAGAAGGAACACTGGTATGCAACAACATTATCTTTGTAATTTTATTCTGAGAAAATTGGATAACACACGGGATCAATAGATATAGCAGGATGACCAGAAATAACATGCTGCCGAAAGCCATGAAGACAGATAAAAACATTACTGAGAAGGATCCTATGCTATTTTCAAGTATTATTCTCAACTTGTCATAGTCTTTCTGTAAATCTGTTAATGTTTGAAAAACAGAGGCGTTCATTGTACTAGCCAATTCTATTCTGCTTTCTAATGTAACATCCTGACCGTCTTCTGTTATTGGGATTTGAAAGGGCTCATCAGTAGGGTTAATTATTATGTCTACAGGCTTAACTGTGTTTTGAACGGATTTAGGGGCTTCTAGTTTAGCAGGTGTTGGTAAATAAAATATAGGAGGATTTTCAGACTGAAAGGGAGATATTTCTATTTTTTCTTCTGCTAATATCTTGTCATTATTGTTAATAACAGTCTCTACAAATTCAAAGATTGCATCCGAGATTTTGGATTTATTCTCAGTTTCAGAAATAACTCTAGATTGAACACTAAAGGGCATGCCTGTTTCGCAATTGTGTGTAAGACTAGTTTGCGTCGTACCATTTGGGAATGAAATACAGATACAATAAACATTTGATTGTAGAGGCTGTTCCTGCCATACACATTCAAATAGGACGTCTTTATTGTTAGTTTTTGGATCTGAAATTAGACTTGTAGTTCTGCATATCTTTGAATGGATTCCATGGCCGTAATCATAGTTTGCTGTTATTTGATTTGTTTCTTGACCATGTTCGTATTTATTGATAGGAATGCTTTTTATGAATTGACCCTTATCGCATGGTTGGAATGCTATGTTTATTTGCGTTATTAAGCCTTCATCCACTTTACAGTGGCAAGTAATTGTATTCTCCTTTTTATTGTATGTTAAATGAATAGTTTCAACAACCAATAATTGTTCTGAACTCAAAAAATTTACAAATATTATACAAAGGAATAAGTATACAAACATTTTTACCACTTAAACTTACTACTCTAACCACTTTTTATGTACACACATATAAATGTAATTATTGAATTTCTTACGCTAATTACTTTGACTACTTATCAAAAATAACCAGTTCTTTGAATTAACACGTTTTTTGTTTCTTCTGACGCTGAAAAAATCTGAAAACAGCGCATACTAACAATTTTTTTTAAATTCTTTTCTGCCGAAAAAACCTCGAAAAACGGCTTCTATCGCCCTTTTACATTTTTCTCACGCCGAAAAAGCCTAGAAAACGGCGGTGATCGGTTTATAAAAAAAATGCGCATATATATTTACAATATAAACAGGAACATAAAAGAGCCAGTAGCCAACCACATTGAAACTTTTTTGATGTAAGACCAATTTAGCAGAATTTTAGAAAAGGCATCTGCAATTTCCTTTTGTGAGTAGATCTACTTGTACCTTTGTGGTGGAGCTGTATCTTTTATGGAGACTTCTGCAAAGCCAGAGAAGATGAAGCGCTTTCCTGGAGCAAAAAGGTGGTTGAAAAAATAAAAATAAAAATGGTCTTTGTCTTGGGCTTTTTGTAATCACGTCGGAGGTCACCAAATTGTGAATTATTCCCAGACGTAAGACAAAAAGAGACTTGGACAAAACTGCGTAGTTCAAAATAGAGTTTTTATTATCAGAAGGTTTGAGCGTAGTCTGATCTGGCACAACGCAGCTCCTGAGAAGTCTGGCTGTAGAAGTCTGGCTGTTGAGATGAAGGGTGGCTACTTATATACACCTTAAATGATTAGGTAAGCATAGACTTTGGTAGCATGACTATGCAGAAGAAAGCGTATGGTTTCAATGTTCAGTTGAGATGGCCTAATGATGTCATAACTATGATCTAAGTATGTCTTCGTAATGGACCAAACTCCAATGTACATGAGATAGTATTATCTCATGTTCTGTACATCAAAACTTTATCTGTTTTATGCTTTTGTAAGCAGTTTAAAGTACAGGTGTACGCCTTTGAACTATATTGAACTGTTTAACATAATATTTTAGCAAGCAAATAGTAATTAAATATTCACACGCGCGTCTGCTGCGCGTATAACGCGTACGTGTTGTAACGCGTGATGTGTAAATTAGCAGTGACAGTCTATGGGAGAGACCTGCGGGACCGCCTCGGACTATTTATGCTCGGACTATCTATGCTTGGACTATCTGTGCTCGGTCTAT